CTGAAAAGCTTGCAGAGCGAAGAGTTGCGTTGATTCCCTGTACTTCCAAGTAATTTGTCTTGAAATTTGTTATGGGATTCTACTAGACGGTAGACCGGAACCCTTCTGGGTGCGTCAGAAGCTTGAAATCATGTGAATGTTTACTATTGCTCTTACAAAGATCTTAACCTACCTATGTACAAGCTAACTATCAACTGAGGGAATCCCATAACCGTCTTTCACTCTGACAGAGCAATGGAATCGGATCAAACGAGAGAAGAGTGGTCTGTGAAGCTGCGTAAAAATTGCTTGCAGAACTTCACCACTGTTGACATATCCAGGATGTGCCAAGGGCACAATGACAAAGTAAGTATGGTGCAGAAAGTGCATTTCGAGTCCTATAAATGATCGGTTTAATGTGACTGTGAGTTTGACCGCAAATCGATAACGCGCCGCAGCAAAGGTTGATGGTGTTGACTTTCGTAAGCGGCATAGGAGGCGGTACGAGAGCCTAGTTGGTGTGTGGCAAGAGCGATGAAAATCAAGTTCGGGAGGGGCAGGGTCAACCGTCCGTTGGACAAAGTCCAACGCGACGACGAGAGTAATGCCGAGAGTGAACGTACGCACGGAGACACAGACGGCTCGCGGGTGGCGAGAGTGAATGCCGGCGCGGAGAGCGGTCAACATCGGTCCAACGTCGCTCCAATATCGGTCCAACGTAACGGTTGACCCTGATGGGAGTGAGAGGCGATAAAAGGCGCTAGAACGCAAGTGTCGCGAAATTCATAGTGCGCTTCGCAGCAGTCGTCAGGAGCTGATTTTGGGATATGATATAGGGGGTGGGACGGGAACATATTTGGTGGGGTCAGAAAGTGATAACGACTGATAAGGGCTGATAAAAGGCGCTAGAACGCAATTTCACGAAATTCATAGTGCGCTTCGCAGCAGTCGTCAGGAGCTGATTTTGGGATATGATATAGGGGGTGGGACGGGAACATATTTGGTGGGGTCAGAAAGTGATAACGACTGATAAGGGCTGATAAGAGGCGCTAGAACGCAATTTCACGAAATTCATAGTGCGCTTCGCAGCAGTCGTCAGGAGCTGATTTTGGGATATGATATAGGGGGTGGGACGGGAACATATTTGGTGGGGGTCACAAAGTGATAACGACTGATAAGAGCAGATAAGAGGCGCTGAAACACAAATTTCACGAAATTCATAGTGCGCTTCGCAGCAGTCGTCAGGAGCTGATTTTGGGACATGATATAGGGGGTGGGACGGGAACATATTTGGTGGGGGTCAAAAAGTGATAACGACTGATGAGGACTGATAGTAACGATATGCGTACGAACGTAGAGAGCACTTGAAATAGAAAATAGAGAGCAGATTGTAGATAATGCATTTCAATATCATTTCATTAGCGTTGTAATTGTAAACTCAAACACCTTTCGACCGCTACACCTTCTAGAGTTCTTGAGGATGAATGGGATGCTCGAATAAATATGATAATGAATACTGGGCATTCCGTTTTGAGATATTCGACCGCTAAATTACCTCGATACTCGACGCATAGTGGTTGTTTACATCATCACTTTAGCTGTGCACTTCACTGCGCTTATCAAACAGTGAGATACAGCCAAGATGGGGGACAGTAATACATTTAACGAAGCAGCTATAATTTAGCGGTGAAACCTAAAGCTTCATCGATTGTCAGTTCTATCAATGCGCGCGGTAGCGGGCGGAGCTAAACTGGTGCTTACATATTTGCTTATGCTAAAGCCCAGAGCTAGGTTTTGTGACAGGTTTCGTCGTCGCAAAACTTCGCTCTGTCGTAATCTCTCGAAATTGGGTAAACCGAAAAAAATGCATTTTGCAATGGCTTCATGTTGAAGGAAGCGGTATGGGGACAGTCACATTTGAGAGGAAGTGTTACGAAGTGACAAAGGCTGATAAGTGGTCCTATTGCGCAGGTCACCAATTTGTTCGCGTTGAAGAACCCGTGCACATAGCTGCGATATTACGGCACCCCTATGGATCTCACAGAAGATGTTCAGCTGTACCATAGCCATCAATCAATTGAGCGCTAATCTGCCCAGGATGTCACGAATGGAGAAATATTAATAGGGAGAATGGTACCCATAGTACTAATTAGCTGGTGAAACGCAAACAGTAATACGTTCAGCTTAATTGCGGGGTCCGGCAAACGAAATCTATCCAAACGCCTAGCTGTCTGGTGTATCACAAATGGTATACCTGGAGAAATATATTACTAGCATTAGTTAGCCACATGGAACTTGAAATCTCCGCTATATTACCTCACCAGTGTGTGCACGCGCTGTAGTAACGAGGAGTTGATTTTAAGGCTGGAGGATTGGACACAGCAGCTGCTAGAAAGTGACGACAACTGAGGCTGTTTTATTGCTGTGTTAGCTGCTTTGCTCCCACTCTCAACACTGCCTAGCCAGGGCCAATGCCGAGTCGTTACCACAGTGGCCGGAACCACTGTGGGTCCGAGGGGTGGTCTACTCTTAGCCGAGTGGACATGCAGACATGCCTTTGGAATAAGGTATTGAAGTATTTTAAAAGTATATGAACTAGTATGAAAAATATTGAACTTGAAAATTTTTAAAAAATTTAAAAGGACACGCCTGCATGCCACCCGTTTCACCCTTCCACCACGCTGGGGTAGGCCATAGCTTGGGTGAGTGACGGCAGTACATAGAAGGGATAATAAGCGTTGTTACAATGTCATTGTCACCGAATTCTTACGTCAGTGACACATTAAGGACAATATTGGAGTTCATTGAGTGAACTATTCCTATTACGATGCCCACTTGGCCACAAGCCCACGTGAACTTTTGAAAAATGGTGGATGTTTGTGAAACGAAAGAAAGAAAGAAGAAGCTTATAAAAGGCTTTTCAAAGGTGCTCAAGGTAGAGTACTACATTGCCGAGTGGAAGCACATTTGAAAAAGTTCTGGAGTATTCCACATTGATGGCTTATGTAGCAGTTTAGAGACACTTGGGCACGTGTTCCAAATCCCTGTAGAACCTTACTACTTATCCTAATTTAACCAACGATATGCTAACCACGAGTAACCTTGCCATTCGATCAATAAACGCCACGTCATCGACTCTTTTGTCCCCAGGTGGAAGAGGGCTGTGAATCGACCGAGTTGGTCACAACGATCGCTCCCTCACACTCGCCTCCATTTGACAGTATTCCTCGGCCAAATTCTCCAGAGCATTGGTGAGAGAGTCGATGTTCATGAGGGAAAGATGCATTTGTGCAAGCGCGAGTGAACTGCGACTGGTTAAGGTAAGGTTACCCTGCGCTGCTTCTGTCACAAGTCAGCGACAATCAACAGCACGTGCGGCCGAATGGTAATTACTGCGTGTCTTTACCCACTCAAACTGATTTATGTTGTATCGCAATATCACAGAAAGCCCAGGCCATTTCTCATGGCTCCCGTCGGCATGAATAGCGGCTTGTGGACGCTCTGGATATGCTTTATACAGCTACTCACGGTTTCTGTGGAACATCAGCCCAATATTGGTTTATGCACTTTTTCAGAGCTCATTTGAGGTGTTTTCTGAAGTGCAAGAATACTAGGCGAATTTTCCTGTTGAAGGGTCTGGTGGTCAAGGCCGGATCTGTTCTATCCAAAAGAATGTCACCATGCTGCAAAAATTTGGCAGTTTATCTCATGGCAGCCTGACTGGGAAACTGCTTTCCCACCACATCGACTTCCTGATCTCGCCTTGTGCGTGTTACTTGTTTGTGCTCTTCAGACTGGGAGAGTTCAAGTAGTCACGTAATCCTTCAAACTGTCCCCTGTCCAAAAAAATCTCGCTGATTTCGATGAACTTTCATTATTTCAATCACAAATCAATAAAAACATTCACTGTGACCATGTTTTCAATTGCAGCCCTTTTTTCTTCAGGTCTGGCTTCTGAATAGGTACTAGGAAGACTCGTTCTGACCATGAGTTACAGAAACAGCGTAGCATAACCTTACTCAGTCACAGCTTGGCTGTCGCTTGCACAAATGCGCTCTTACCTGACGAACATTGACTTATTGTTATTGTCGTGGAGGATTTGGCTCTGATAACTCGTCTTCAAACCCAGTGTGGACCACGACGTAAGCAAACCAGCCCTTTTGGCGCTTCGGCTGGGACCGTATGCTGAATGTTGGGGAGGGGATGGAGTCCCCGACGGTGGACGGACCACTTCAACTCGGTCCTTAGAACCGCCACAATTTGGTGCTTACCTCAGAACTAAGCCTTAAAGAGAGGACGGGTCCGTCCCCTCTCCAAGGCTTAGTCCTGGGGTGAGCAAACCAGCCCTTCTGGCGGAGCTGCTGGACCAGCTGCACCACTTGCGTCAGTACTCTCCTATCGTACCAACCGAGTTGAAGTAAACCGTCGACCGTTGGGGACCCCATCCCCTCCCCAACATTCAGCATACGGTCCCAGCCGAAACGCCAAAAGGGCTGGTTTGCTTACCTCAGACCACTTGCGATTGTGTGCGGGGCCACATGGGCGAGTGTAAGGGGGCGATCCGTGACCAACACGGTCGATTCACAGCCTTCCATTCGGGTAGAGAGTCGCAGACTTGCGCCTTCATTGATCGGATGGCATGGTTAGTGCTGGTTAGTTCCTACATGTATTTTTGGTTGGATTATGCTTGAAACTGCGTAAAACATATCTGTTGAATAGGACTGAACCTTAGGAAAGGGAGGAGAGACCTCAAGACGTGTGAACAATTTTCATTTCTCTCAGAGTTCCTGCCCCTTCCTAGGTTTAGTCTTAAAGGATGCTCGCGAATCTTGCGTTAGCCCCCAATTTTGTAAAAATTCCGAGAATGTGTCCGAGTGTCTCAGAATTGTTGCATAGACCATCAATGTGAAATGTGCGAGAACCTCTTTCAAAATGTGTTGTCTACTGGACAGTGTCGTGTTGTGGCTTAACAGCAACTTTGAGGAGCCTTTTGTAACCTCATTTTTTTTCTGCCACGGCCTATGTTGAACGTTTTGCAGACGATGTTCATGTCTGTCATTCTGGCATCGGACGCGAAATCTCGAGGAAAACGAAGTCCTTCTGTTTGCATGCCTGAAGATCAGGAACCCGGTTGTTGCCTCTACGATCTGATCGTGGGTTAAAGTTTTGCCTTTTTGAAATCTTTTGGCAGAACATCGTCATTGTTCATTCCATCTAGCAACTTTCAGGTTGATTTCCAACAAATCGGCTGGAAATTTATTATTGCACCTCACAAATACAACGCCTACATGTGTAGGGGTGACTGTTCTGTGAACCACACACATGTGAGTTGTGTTGGGTTATGTTGGTCCTAGCCTTCTGGTCCCGTGTTAATATCTCATAATAGTCCACAAATTGTAGGTCACTCGATCAGGGCATACGAAGGTGGCGAAAACGGGCATTATTACGAGACAAGACGCTACTGGTAACCAAGGAATGTGTTGCCATCCCGCTGAGTGAGTTTCGCTTCAAAAATTCAGATACCATTGGTCATTTGTTTGTAGTGCTTCTTCACAGTATATCTTTATTAATAACAGAGGATAAAGCATCCGGCGTCGATCAGTCTCTTTTGGGGGTGCGCCTTCTTTCTGCTTCCAGCCAGGGTCGTAGTGGCATCTTGAAACGATTTGACCTGTACAATGGCTTGCAGGGGATAGCTAACGTCGAGTCAGTGTTTTTCTCCTTGTAGACGAATATGGTTCTACTTGACTTATGCCCAAGGGATAGAAGACTTGAAGCACGACTCTGCATTTGATCCTGGACCATGCGCCTGATGAGGAAAGTCACTTGCCACCACGCCATTTTCAGAATTCAGCCGCGGACGTGCCTGTCAGTTCCGTTTAACATTCATGAAGATTGATCAACAAAAATTCTCCTGCAGTGTTGTGTAAAAAATAGCGTGCATAAGCAAAATTCGGTGCTATTATAATGTGTAATGGGTAGTTCTGCTTCGTGGTAGAAATAAATAGTCAAAGCAAATGAGGATGACATTATTGAGTGTTCACTAGACCCGATAAGGACTCTTAAGACTTTTCAGAGGATTTTTTTATAGATACTCTATCGGCTATCATATTTATGTAGATCGAACATTTGTACCATATAATTTACTTTCTTTCCGTTAAAGTGTTAACGCGCAGTAATTTGGATACGGTAATTCTCGTGGGGAAGTCTGAGGCAGCATTTCCGAACATTAATACCGTATCAAGACACAAAGGGTAATAATTGATGCACTCAGTAATGGTCAGTCAGTTTTTTTTTGATGCGCCACGCATCCCATTTCTATTCACATTCAGGCATTTTGGTTGCGGCATGATCTACACTAGTGTGCAAAACTCAAGGACGGAAGTAACTTTCACATGATATCTCACTGCTAGTTAACCTAGGTGGACCAAATTTGGCACATATATAGAAGTAAATGTTGCGGTACAGTGCAGAGAGTTACTAACAGAAAAGCGCAAAGGGGCGATTGGAAAAGACATTTTTCTGCAAATACCCTGTCTGAAGCGGTTAATAGGTGAGGCTTCTCCAACTCATGGTAACCTTCAGAAGAGATGAGCTATTTCTGATGGGGTGTATGAACTCTACGGACTGTGAGACATACTTTCCGTAGTGTTTCCATACTAGCAAAAACATTGGTCAATCCTTCTTGTGAAGGAGCTTTCCATTCCTCGAAAACCGCGATTGACATCTGCTGGACAGTTATTGGCGTGGGGGGGGGAGGGTGCGTTACAATAGCTCTCTTGAATGGATGCCCCACGTGCATCATAGGAACCGAGCGGGGGAAGCAGACAGGCTCAGCCAATCGCTTTCCAAGTTTTTCCTTCCAGGCTGTACCGCGATCACAAGTTGCGAGATTAAAACGCCCTGATAACTTCATGCCACCCCATACCATATCGCTTGGAGTATCAAAAGCAATCATATTGGACGATGGTCCAGGGTGCATTACGTGATTTCATTCTTGTCACAGCGTCTCACTATTTCATCTATATTGCTCTTACTGAGAAGAGCACGCGATTGTCCGATTGTTGGTCCATTCCCAATGTCTTGGCACCTTGCAAGTGTTTCCGCCGATGGCTGCAAGGCATGTTGACAGTGAAACGCCGTTGAATTTTGAAACCAAATTCAACCAATTTACGAGATCAGTGTGCTACGACATTCAATGATCATATTCCGGTTTTCTTTCAACATTCCCCATTTTACCAATAAGCTACGGAATTTGAATTAATTTATAGAGAAGCTTGCGTACGATTAGTTTCGTTTCCGGAGGAACTAGGCTTAGATGACTCAGCGCGCAATGTTACCCCTGTTGGGAGAGCGTTGGGGAATTTTCATTTTAGGTACTACCTTCCCCCTCCTTGCAATCATTTCCAAACCCGAACTAGGGGACAATAAGAGACAGTTTGGGGTGTAGAAAGCGATCGTGGTTGCAATACAACACACTGTTGAACCATGAACTTACATTTAGCACTTCGAACGGGCTTAGCTTCCTTAGCTTTTCACAAATTGGTCAACTTTGTATGGATTTGAATTTGCAAATTTTCTGTTTCTAAAATCTGAAATCGCTAATTTACTCGATTGTCGAAAGCGTTTCTGATGTAAAATGGACCAACAAAATTTCAAAGCAATCCGAAAAAAAAACGACACTTTCTTTACATCTTTCAATCTCTGCTATCTTTAAACCCTGCACAATGGGATAAATGACCTAGTGTTTGCTTTGTTATAAGCCAGAACTATTTCATGAAGTCGCTTATCTGAAAAATCTTGAGAGTTTTTCGCTCACTTTCCTCGCTCTTGCATCTGCTGGGAATTACTAGATTGAGCTTTGAAATTTAGAAATCAGATTCCTAAAATTAAAATTCAGCTGCTTTACTTAAACTAATTTTGTGTTGATGACTTCTTGAGCGAACAATATTCTGTATGAGATGAATTTACAGGGTTGAGGTCAGCAGTCAGCGCAGCCAATTAAGCGGTGTCTATCCAATGGCAAGTGAGAGCAGGGTGTGAGGCAACGACAGCGAAGAGGTGTGAAAGGTCAATCCTGACTAAAGGTGCACACCCCTGTGCCACTGTTCGGGCTGGGATTACATGCCTTACAATCCTGATAAATGTTTTTGCAACTGCAGCATGTGACTGACGTGGGTCCATTTCTTGCCTGTTGCAAAACGTAGCAATCACCTGCTGTTGCGGTTGTTCGTGATCCACCACCTCCTCTTCTGGGACAGCAGTGGCTGCGGTCCATATTGCTCTCCATGTGACAAAACAATGCTGTGAGTAACACCAAACTTGTGGACCACACCTTAAAGGAATCTTCCACGGAAAGAGTGATCATTTTGTCTTGTGTGTAGGATTAGTATTATCGAAACTAACGCTTATGTTCCGTTCTTTTTGCTATGCTCATGAGGCTAGGGGCCTAAGGGGTATCGTTTTTCTGTGGTAATGGAGGCGGAGCTTTTTCCGCGGAAGATTCCTTTAAGAACATCTTCATTCTTCCCAGCGGACCCTGCGACTGCGCGGGACTAACGCTAAGGAGAACAAGAAGAAGAAGAAGACATCTTCTTCCAGTTTCCCGGCGATTCTTCCTCGCGTGAAGTCACCCTAGTGTTGTCTCTGAGACTTGCTGTAATCAAGAACACCACTACATTCCACAGTAACTTCTCCCTGCTTAGTACACTCCCTCTTGTCCTGTTTCACAAAGCCCCTTCTGCGTGGTCACCTTTTGGCTCTAGGTTGAATCTAGCTTCAGCTTCAAGGTTGAGCCAGCGTATGAAGTCCAGTACACTGTGCATGACTGGAAGACCTTTACCATCATGCTCGCATAATTTCGGGTGACGGACTTTAATACAAAATTCACACTTCTGCCTACTTCACACCTCTGCCTCGCACCTCGGCAGGCTTGCCTGTGGGATACCCTCGCTTAATTGGTTGAATTGCCTTGTGACCTTTCCTTAACAATGCCAATTACATTGAAATAGGCTAATGAAGTTCATCGAACAAGAACTAGTAATGATTAGAATGGAAGGTGGTGCAAGCACGTGCACACAGGAGAGAGGGGGTGCCTCCGCATTCAAGTGGGTTCAAGCATACTTTACCAAATTTGAACCGAATGCTCACAACATTGAAGAGGAAGCACGTTTTATAAAAACACTTCATAGTGGCCTTCTACGTGGACGGCATCAAAAAAAATCTGCCCCGATAATATGGTACACTGCTCGAGCTCAACGGACCCTCGAAAAGTCATGTACCATTACGTTGCTTTCTGAAAGCGAGTTCCGAGTTAGTTTGCACAGTCAGAGCTATGTCTCTAGGAAACTATCCACATTGAATCGATTCAAGAAATTATGTAAGAGCTTCAGGCTGAAGCAGTTACGGTAGGCCTCCTTGAGCTGACGACGATGACAGATGACGTCATATTCTGAAGACGGTGAGGGCAGTGAAGGAGGGCCTGCGTCTACTTACAGGGACATTCTGAGAAATATTTTGTTGTAAGACTCCTGTCAACGACGGCAATCTTTCCAACGTGATAAGCGAGTCTTTTTTTATTTCACTTCCACCGCTCTCCCCCCCCCCCTCCGTCAAGCTGCGTTTTGAGGACACTGGTACGAAACTCTCCAGCGAAGACTGAAGCATACTTATCTGCTTCAATAGTTGCCGAATTGATTATTATATTACTGAATGCTATGGGGATGATGGGTTGATAAAAGGGGGCATTAAGGTGTCTGAAATGCCTGGGGTCACCTCAAATTCTTAAGGTCACATTCTACGAATTAGCCTGGTTTTGAGCAGCTAATTATAGGCGTATTGCTTACAAAAAGGTTTATGACGCAAAATATATTCTACGAATAAGAGACCACAATTTTTCAAAGGAATATGAATGCATATTTCAACACTCGCTTTGTTTTTGTTCATGATTCGTATCTTTGAGTGGAAAATTAGCACTCAATTTTGCCATTGTGTAAATAGCAGTGCCTCGAGCGAACACCTCAATTCGTTCCTTATTCAACTTGTGGGAAATCTTCATGCGTTCACGCTTATCCTGATGAATTCTTCATGTAGTTACTTGGTCAAGAATATCATCGTTAATGTTTGCATGACAAGCTCCTTCCATGAAATCGTAACCAATTGTACGAGGTGTTCTGCAGGCAAGCCTGCTGAGGTGTGAGGCAGAGGTGGAAAGTAGGACGAAGTGTGAATCTTGTCCCAAACACAGACTCCATAGTTTCATCCATTTCTGTTGCCTTCTTGTTATGCCACTTATCCATCTCGTCCTTGAGTTTCGCACCCCAGTCAGTACAATGACCTGCGGGGATCGGCCAATCTAATAATTCATGTTTTTATCTTCCCAGCAGCGAGACGCTAGAGATTGTTTCACGTGCACGGCGCACCACGCAGGATTTCGATCCTGGACCCGCACACTAAGCAGTGCCACTACCTCTACACTATTTTGATTCATGTATGCAAAGCATAATAAGCATGTGCGCTTCCTCTCTGACTTGAGTTTTCTACTTATACATATAATTTGTATCAGTATCCAGTTGAGAGTCTGCAATGCTGAGTTAGCAACATAGACTTGGCAAAACGTAATCAAAAATCACTCTTGACATTGATTTTTTGAAGCTTGTGCCATCCGTTACTACTATTATATTTTGCAAAGTTGATAGCGCAGGTAGAAGTAGCGGGAATATTTCATGCCATGCCTGCGTTGCTAAGTCTGCATTACAGAATTGCTGGTATACGAAAAGTATGTCGGTCAGCCAGCACCGTCCAGAAAAATACTCTTCCACCTCTCGGAATAGGCATATGCGTCACAGATCACGTCCCCAGAGGTCGTGTTAGAGCTGATGTCTGTTCAAGGAAACACCGTTAACATAATGTGATTCGATTATATAGGTGAATGGACTATTACTGGAGTTGACGTTGTCGTCACCGTCTGGGTTGAATTTCACATAACGAGGTTACTACGGCGATTCGTAAGATTGCTAGAGAGAACTAACTGTGTCCTTGTGAATCCCCTTCTCGCGGATGATTAGGTAGAAGTCCCTGCGCTTATAAAACATAAAATATAAATACGCGTATAAAACTGTTGCTGTCCATGTTCGGTCTTCTTGAAACCCAATCAGTTGTTGCGAATATTGCTTGTTTTTTCTTCTGCCATACAGGTTGTTATGATGGAACTACGGTGTGTCTCCTAATGACACAGCCACCCAGAAATTGTTGGAAATCTCGAATTCCACAAAGTTTCTGAAAAAATGTCCAAACTGTGTCAAATTTGGTTGCGAATTCGAAAATGTCGCGAATTCGAAAATCAACACAAAATTCCAGGTTGAAAATGCGAAAAAAATTTTTATCCTACTTTTTCCAAAAAGGGTCGCTTTTCCATCGTCTCCAAATGATACAGCCACCCAGTGTTTCTTCGTTGGCAGTCCTCAAATTATTCTTTCTTTGGTCATCAGGAAAGACTATTGGATTTCGAAAAAGGGGAAATCGCCACAAAATGAGAAAAATTAAGCGCCAGGTGGTCACACTGCGCGAAATTTCGTCAAAAACTCGACATGCATTATGGCATTCCTCTTTTTGAATCATGTAGGTCATAGAAAACTTCAGAAGGGCTCTGACGTTATTCTTGCTTTTCGATATAAAAGATACATGCCGACACCCTATAAGAACAGCTACCAAATTTCACAAGTTAGAAAACCTAACAAAAAACTTCCAAAATTCTAAAGAAAAAAATTCAAGAAATCTCTTCTTCTTCCTTTTTAGAGTCTCTTTCAGAGATTTAATCTCCGACCAAGCCAACCGGACAGGATCCATTTTCGGCCTGTTGTGTTTTACTTCTTATCTGCTTTACCTTTTTTCTGCCTTTCTGCAGAAATAACAGAAATATTCAAAATGCCTTGCCATGAATCAATTTTCAATTTAACGCATTCTTGTTCTATGAAGCATCTAAAGGCTTATTCACACAGTGATATGTTTTATATTCTTGCTAGAAATTGCTTTTATGTTTATCCTCTGCACTGAATATAAGGGCCTCAAGAAGGAGCAATAAACAGTTTCGTAATAACGTTTCAAGGACCAGCAACTTTATATACTTCACATTCATCAAGAAAATCATCACAGTGGAGTGAATCAAACCTTGTGCGAAGTACGACGTAAGGTAATACCAAAAGGTCGGACAACAATCAAGCGAGTCATCAATAACTCATGTTATCATTGCAAACGGTACAAGGCTCGACCATTCATGCTCCCGGAATTTCCAGCACATCCGGAAAGAAGAGTAAGAAAACCACAAGTACCCATTCGAAAATTGTGGGATGGATTACACAGGACCGCTATTTTTCAAAAACGACGAGAACACCAATTCAAAATACTGGATCATTCTGCTCACCTGTTTAACACCACCAGAGCAATCTATGTGGAACTTGTCACCGACATGTCATCTGTAAGCCTGCTTCAAGCTCTACGTCGATTTTTCGCGTCCATCGCATACCCAAAATGGATTCTGTGTGATAACGCCAAGCCATTCCATGTCATCAACGAGCTCCAAACCTCCATCAACGAGGAAGAACAAATTGACCCCGACGTGATGGATTTCTGCGCTCAAAGGAAAATCGAATTCAAATTTATCCCAAGTTTCAGCCCTTGGCAGGGTGGATTGTACGAAAAGATGATTCACATCTTCAAAGTGTCATTCAAACACGCTCTGAACAATCGTATACTCAAATTGGAAGAACTGAGGACATTAGCCAAAGAGACAGAAACAATCGTTAACAACAGACCCTCTCACCTACCAGTTGAAGAGAACGATCAAATAACGCCACTCCGTCCAATGGACTTTCTACACCCGTGGACAACATTGTCACTTCCTCGAGTGAACGAAGAAACCAGCCAATGGGAACCTTCGACAACAACAAAAGAAAATTTGTTGGAAGTTTGGAAATCAATAGACAGCATGCTCAATCGCTTCTGGAGAAGGTGGACGTCTGAGTATCTGACTAGTCTCCGAGAGCACTATTGCATGACTCACCCACCCGCGGCCCGCGATGCGTCAACCACACCCGACCACAACAAGGAGACATCGTTCTGATACCAGAAAAAGCTCTCGAAAGAAGCCAGTGGAAAATGGGCAAGGTGATTTCCTCTTCGGATGACTTCCAGAGGTCAGCATTCATCAAAATGCCATCAACAAGAATCATAAACAGGCCAATCAACATGCTGTTCAAACTCGAGATTCAAGATAAGGAAAACGAAACGACTCAAAAGAACTCAACTCGGAAAGATAGGCCAGAATCTCATCAAAATCTACATCCTATGATAACAAGATCAAAAGCCTCCAACTGCTTCAATTATCTGCTTGCAGTTGCGCTGCTTTTCATAACCCTCAAGTCATCAGGAGCAAGTACCCGATGCCCATTGGAAATCAACACGCCGAAAACCATCATATACGCCACGAACTGCACCAGTCAAGGAGTTGCAATCGCCAAATACACGCACAATGGAAAGGACAAGCTATGTTGGTTTCCAATTTCTTGTCCACTCGGAGCAATTCACTTCTCTCTTCCATTCCAACCTAACCAAAAGATTTGCGGACCTTCATGTAACTGCCCATCATGGACAAAATCCTGCTCATTCAGCACCAGTCCTCGCAAAAGCTTATCCACTTTATCGGCTCTCCCACTCGAATTGGCATCATATCTCCCTTCACACGTTTGCTCTTTCACCCCTTCCCCAATGTGTGACAAGAAGAGAAGAATCGACAAATTCAATCAAATCCAGCTCTTTGATGACTCCCTCCTCGTGGTACCAGAACTACACATCAACATCAAAGACTACATCGATTCAGAAGACTTTATATGTTTCGATGCCAAAGGATCACAGCGAATGGCCAAACCGCCTTATACTGGAACTTCACAGTTTTGCAACAAGCATTCATGTCAAGACAATGCTGAAATACTTTGCACCTTCGGAAACCCAAGTGCGCTATACACGACTCATGATGGCAAATCAACCATCCTCGTTAAAGCGTGGGGGATCACAACAAGGGACTTCTATGGTCACCTCAACATGGAACCTTCACACGGATCCATTTCGACCCAGTGCAAAAAAGGAGGGATTGAATTCCAAATCGCTTCTTCCACGGACGCACTCGAAGCATGTATACAGAACTACTGCCACTTTATAAGTAACCCAACGAACTCCAACGTGATCTTCCCAACAAGATTCGTAGCATTCAACTACGAAGTTGAAGTATCCGCATGGAGTAAAGGAAAACTCATTGATCAACAACATCTGAACTGCCGCGCCTCACCGATTTGTGAAATCATGGACTGCACAATCTGTCTCGAGAAAATATATAATCCACACTGCTGGTCCAAAACACAAATCATCATGGCAACCGGGACCTTCTTCACTTGCCTGCTGCTGATCGCTCTGATTCAACCGTTCCTGCGTGTGATGATCCGCATAATCCGCTACGCCATCTCACCGCTTCGATTCGTCGTTAAAAGAATTGGATCAAAATTCATACGGAGTCAAAGGAACCTCGCAACCTACACTGGAAACCGTCGAAGACTTCTACTCACAATTGTACTTCTTTCATTGAAGGCAAGCAAACAATGCTCGCATGTTGTCACACTCAGCGCTTCTCAAGAAGAATGCATCACCTCAGGCAATACGACAAACTGCAACTTCAATCAAGCCACGATACTCACTCTTCAGCCGCTCAGCCAAGAGACGTGTTTACTTCTCAAACACGAAGATGGTACTTCTATCGGCTTGCTAACTATTAGAGTTGACGGTCTCTACTTCGCGTGCCAAAAACGAATCGAATTCTTCACAAGGGACCATCATTTCTACACCGAATCCGCCCACAGATGCAGATTTGCAGGAAGTTGCAGCACAAATACATGCGACAACACAAGAACTAGCGACTGGTTGAACGAACTCTCTGACACAGCCAACAGACATCCTGGATACTCATTCTGCGCCGCCAGCTGTGGATGCCTGACATGCGGTGGATGTTTTTTCTGCTTAGCAAGCTGTCTATTTTATCGTTACTACGCCTATCCGGAATCGCCAACGCTTTATACAGTCTTCAACTGCCCTTCATGGGAATTCACGGTGGATGCACATGTAACTCTTCAGAACAACGAACTCTCAGAAGGGACTGATCTGCGATTACAACCAGCAAAAACAGTGCGATGGAATAATATTCGATTCACGCTAATTGGGTCCATGGTCCCACAAATGCCTCTCTTATCATCAACGTTCATCACAGACGGAGAAATCACAGCTATCACAAAACCTGCCACTTCAGGACAACTTCTACCCCATACAATAGGTCAACTTCAATGCCACACTATAGAAGATGCTAAGAACTTCAACTGCACATTCGCCAGTAATGTATGCCACTGCTCTGCGGCCACAAACAGAGCAACTTGCTCATGCAGCGGAGGCGAAATTCACAAAGCACTCAGAAAGACAACACTGCCACAGACTACCAAAAATGTGGTGATTTACCAAAAGGAGGGAAAAATTCTGGCAAAAACTAACGTTGGAACAGCGATTCAACTGCACGTTGTCGCCGAGAA